TACTTTTCCTTGACAAAACTCAAAAACACACTTCAGATTTAAGCATTGTATTCGGTACTCTTTTCTAGTGTTCAAATAATAAAACTATATATATATATTCTTTTTTTCAAAAAGCCTGCTTTCATAATACTGGTGTAAATACCCGAAAGAGATGAGGTGTTAAAAATTAAACAGAGTTAGTCTGGGTTAGTTCTTGGATGTGAGACTGTCAATGAATATCAGGTGCTATGGACTATATTTCAGAGGAAATAATTGAAAATCACCTTTGATTATTCCTATGAAATTAATGGGCTTACCATAAGTTAAGGAGCCCCCGGTGGTGCAGTGGGTTAAACCATTAAGTTGCTGAGCTTGTTGACAGAAAGGTTGCAGGTTTGAATCCGGGGAGCAGCGTGATCTTCCGCTGTCAGCCCCAGCTTCTGCCAACCTAGTAGTTTGAAAACATGCAAATGTGAGTAGATCCATAGGTACCGTTCTATGCAGTCATGCCAGCCACATGACCTTAGAGGTGTCTACAGACAACACCGGCTCTTCGGCTTAGAAATGGAGATGAGCACCAACCCCCAGAGTCGGACACAACTGGACTTAATGTCAGTGGACAACCTTTACCTTTACTACCATAAGGTAACAAGTGACTTGAATGTATACAGACACTTTCATAATTGGAAATTGCAGAACATTCTTAAGAAGCAGAGGCTAGTATCTTGCGAGCATCAAGATATAATCATAAGGTAAATTAGAAAGTGGATAATGCACATATCAATTTAGTCAGCTGACATTTTCAGCAGACCTAATTTAGGCCTAGTTCTCACAAACATCAAAAGAAATTGCAACCTTGTGTCAGGATTCTATCACTTTGGATGGCAGCGAAGCCCTCATAAGGTTAAATTCCACCCCCATCTTTCAGAAGAATGTGTAAATCCCTACACAAAAAAAACCCCAAGATATTATAAATAAAAGTTCTAACATTGACCTTCCTCTGACATTCTTAATTTTGTGCTGAGTCAAGGCTACCCCTCCTGTTAGGCAAAATGAGGCAGCTGCCTCAGGCAGCACATTTTGTGTGTCATGAAAAGACAACTGATTTGCAGCTGTTAGCTCTTTAATTTGCTGTCCTTGTATTTTGCCTTAGTGATGTGGAGAGGTGCTTGAGGGATTTTATACCTCAAGTGCCCACATACTTAGCTGGCTTGGAAAACAATGCCTCTTAATGAATCATGTGTGGTGCTATTTGATATCCCAGCTGAATGTTGTAAGCTGGCTCACTGTGCAAAATTTCTTAATTTTGCAAAGTCTGAAATATTAAGAATCCAGACATAGGTTTACCACATTGCTCTTTGTGAGAACAAGCCCATGAAGTTAATCTTGTTTGTCACCAGCCCATAACATAACATACTATGACTAATGATCATTTGTTTTGCGCGCGCGCACACACACTCACTGAGACTCTCAAAGCTTCTTTGTACGTGTGTGCTGCTGTCACATCTACAAGAGGTCATTAAGCATCCTTCCCAATAGGCCCTTCCTCTCATTGGTAGACACTAAAGAGGTGGGGTTGGTAACTTCCATATCAGAGGGTGGTAAATCCACTTGCATTTGAACCTGATGGTTAAAGGAACCCTCCAAGGCACAGATTCATAGTTTCACTGGATTCAGGATCTTGGACAGTTCATTGAAAGTTCAGGCTGCTTCTGTGTGTACTGATGGTTCCCCAACATGATTCATGATTCACCGGTATAGCTTGTGGTAGTATTCAAAGACAAGTTCAACATTGTCCCCCATGCCAGATGGATTGATTTTCTGGCTCTTTTCCCACGTCCTGACATTGAAGCCATTGCAAAAGAGGGTGCACACACCTCGCCATGCTCTTGGAATGCTGCATCGTGACGGTGTTCTGCATTGTGAGTTCGATAGATCCATCTGCATGGAGAAAAGAGAGGTGCAAGTTTGGAATTGTTGTCTGTGTCACTGGTATGCCTGCTCAAGTCTTCTACACAAAGTTCCCACCAATTGCTTTTCTGTCCACTAACGTTATCCTGTGTGCCAGTGTGTATGTGTATGTGTGTGTCTGTCCTGTTCATTAACTGGGTGCATTGGAACATTTGATTTTTGGTTGATAATGTGGGAGAAAAGATTTGGAAGAAGAGTGGACCTGCTTTCGGGTAATGAGATGTGGTGGAAATAAATATGAGATCTAGTTACTCTTGGCCATCTTTCTTTTGAGTCTTCACTTCCTCTGACAAATGAGCAAACTTTTCACAAAATCTAGTAATAGCAATTTGAGCATCTATAACTCTAGACACCAGTGTTTGTGTCTCTGCTCAGCCAGGGAAACCCACTGGGCAACTTTGAGCAAGTTACATTCTGTCAGAGGAAGTCAGTGACAACCAAACTTGCAAGAAAACCCTGCGATTGGTTTACTTTGGTGTTACCAAAGGTTGGAAACAACTTGAAGGCACATAACAAGAGCAGGAAGAGCAAAAATAGAAAAACTCATGCCCATGTAGTTGAGTGAATGTTTTCAATGAGTAAATAGCAGAATGGGAGTTCAGTCTGGATTTGGATCCTTACCAGACATACCCATGGGGCTCTAACTCATTTCCCTGTTCTGCAGTTAGGTTCTGGATTTTTCTGTTTACTTTTCAAGGACTATGCCTGATACAATTGCTTAGTGCATAAGTGGTACCATGTTTAGTTGTACCCCAGCTGGTTTCACATGACTTCAAAGAGGATCCATATCACAACATCCTTTCAGTGCCAGTTGGGAGAATGTTTCTCCATATTCAAAAATATAAATGCAGATGGCATACTGCTGTGTCAGTAAGAAATCTTGGTTAGAACTTCTCTCCTTGGTGCACTGCTTTCCTATATGCAAACATGTACAATGTTTTCAATTACCTGAGTGCACATTGAAACACAGGATTCTGCACTTGAAATGCAGAATGATCCAAAATAACATTAATAGTTTATCTACTTAATTATATATATTGTCTGCCTGCTAAAAGGAAGTTTACAATTGAAGATTTAATGGGTAAATACAAAAAGCAAAAGAAACGCAACAATGGGAAGCCCTATTATGTTTTTGCATAATGGGCATGTTGAATGAGCACTGTGGTATAGTGCTAGGAAAGACAGAAAGGCAATTCCCCAAATTCATAAAACTACAACCCAAACTGACTGTGGTGTTCGAAATTTCTCTGAAATATAAGGCATTACAGACTCCTTATCATGGGATTAGAGAGTCTGGTAGTTGAACTCCAAGCCCCCTTCGAAGGCCAAAGGTTCCTGTCCTAGTCTAAGAGTGAATTAGAAAGAGAGACAGCACAGCAGGTGCCATGGGTAAATAATAATGACAGCGATGGGAATGTGCTCCAAATGTGCCCGCTTAGAGGAAATCAAGGCTGCTCACCCATTCAGGTGGCAAATGTTTTTTCTTCCATTCCATGAACAAAATGAAAAGGCAATCACAGAAAGCTCCAACTTTCCATGAAAGCTTCAAATATCCAGTCATGCTGTGACTACTGCAGTGATCAAGCAGACAGAATGCAACCTACAGACTGGGACCGAGTCGAATATTGATTTTAAAAGAAACCCGCCAACAGTGGAGCAATACATCTCTTGTAACCTATCTTGAGAATTTTAAGCATTGGCAAAAAGTTGGGTTTCTTTTCTTGCAAGGCTGGGTGGCTTGAAAATGTATAGTTTTCTCAAGATCAGTCATTAGGTTTCTTCTGTCAAAGTGTGGAATGGAACTATGTGTTCCATTGCCCAACCAGCATTTGAATTTTTGCCATCGTCAAGGTCAAAGCAATGAAGGTCACTTTTGTTTTAATAAACTATACCAAAGGCCACCATTATCATGGTCAAGAATCATAGATTGCTCTTTTACCTAAAGGAGGACCTAAATTGCTTTCCTAAAGGTTCGGTCACATGGTTGTGGAATTTGGTAACTTTAGTCCACAATTTTTTTTACTAATCTCTACTCAAGTAGCAAGTCCCTCCACATTTGCAAGGGTTAGTGGTGCAAGGTCTCCCCAAAAATGGAAAACCCATGAAAATATTGCAAATGATTTTACCTGAGAAAACACTTCTTTAGGCATCTCTGAGTCCTCCAGTGTAATTGTATGGTCAGTTTCCACCAAAACTTCAACTTCCACCAGAAGTTGAGCATAGAATGATGCTGGAGAGCCTAGCAATATCTAAAACAGTGGTTCTCAATCTGTGGGTCTCCAGATGTTTTGGGTTTCAACTACCAGAAATCCTAACAGCTTGTAAACTGGCTGGGATTTCTGGGAGTTGTAGGCCAAAAACATCTGGGAACCCACAGGTTGAAAACCACTGATCTAGAGATAACATTTTGAGTCACATTTAGGACATAAGCAGAGGTGGCAGCAGATACAGCAATCCTAAATATTCACATCTGTGAAAGTTTAATCCACAATGTAGATGGCTACCAGAAGTCAAAGATGTTGACCCAAGACCTGCCTCTCAAACCATTACAGTTATGGGCATAATATACCAATAATGCAAATTGATGGAAGGGAGCTTCAAGCATTCCATACAAGGATGAAATAATGCTTTGGATCTTTGACAATGTCTCAAGTTCCCCACCAGTACTATGCACATGTATTTGCCTGCTTCCTTTCAGCATACAAAGGCTTGACAAAGTGCCCATTTGGTGTTCCATACAACAACTAATGTATGACCCTCACCATCTATGTCAGCTACTCTTTCCTGGCATCTTTCCATCCTATTCCCATTCACCCCCAGGAACTGTAGTCAACTTGTAGGTCTTCTTCTCCTTCCTGATAATGGATAACAAAATAGGATGTCCCAGTTTGTTTTGTCTAAACGAAACTTGGAAGAATGCAAGCCTCTCGGGTTCAGAATCCTCTTATGCCCACCATGCAGGGGTGCAAGGGAGGGTTGTCTCGGTGGTGTGCATGATCCTGCTTCATTTCCTCTCCACCCATCCCACTCCATCCCCCATCCACCCACAGCAGCCAGAAGAGGTCCCTGTACCTGAGCTGTCTCCTGAAGCAGAAGAAACTGAAAGCACTGAGAACAAGAGCCAGCCCAAACGCCTCCATGTGTCCAACATCCCTTTCCGCTTTCGTGACCCAGACTTGCGACAGATGTTTGGGGTGAGTCTGTTCTGCTCACAGTAAAAACAACATGCTCTCTCTGCATTGTTTTCCATAGAATTTATCCAGCAATAGAGTTTGACCAAGGGGAGCATTGGGGGTCTAGAGCAGGGAGTCCAAAGCTCAGCCAGGATACTGAGAACCCCTTTAGACATCATCTGTAGATGTGGGTAAGATATTCACTGTTACTGGACACAGATGTTACTCACCTGTTCATTCTTTGCTGGATCAAAAAGGAAATAGAAAGCACATTTGCAGACATACCAGGAAGAGGGACAGTCCCACAATACTTGGAATGAAATGACTCTCCAGTTATGATGGAGTGAAAGGATATTGCTTTGGGTTTTCAGGGATGTATCCGAAGTGTTTGTAATGGACAATAGTATAAAATCTGAGACTATAAGTTTTTTGACATTTACATGGAAATGATCTCTAGAGAAGAACTGGTCTGTTTGTTGTCTTTGTCAATAACTTTCCTACCTTTTCTTTTCTAGCAATTTGGGAAAATCCTAGATGTGGAGATCATCTTTAATGAGCGTGGCTCAAAGGTACAAAACTACTAGCTGCCAAAAAAAAAAGGAGGGGGAACATGAAGTCCAGGTTGTCTGAGCCAAGGCTCTCCTGTGCCAATTTTTTGTTCTCACGGTTGTATTGTAGAACCCAGTGTTTTGATATTGGCAGGGCCAGCTGAATTGCACAACCATATCAAGTCATTTGTGGAGGATGTCATTTTTTTTAAAGGAATAATGCAAATGTACCACACAGTCTTGTTAGTTGTGCCCCTGCATTCTTTTTTTCAAGATCCTTTGACGCATATCTCTTTTGTGGGTGATAAAATGTATTGAGATCTTTGTAGATACCAAATCAGACACAGAGACAAGGCTGCTTTTTGAGACTATTGGCTGTGATGTTTGGGGAATTCTGGAAGCTGTAATTCCTCTCCACCCAAACTTTTTAGGCTCTGATTAAACATCTTGAAAAATTCAAGTAGTGCTGTTGGATCAGACCAGAGTCCAACAATGAGGAGTTAGGTGCTTTCTGGATTACCATCAGCAAGGTTTGAAGGTGGAGGCACTACTCCCTTGCTAATGTCCTCCCATCGACTGGTATTGAATGGTGTGCAATCTTTGAACATGCAATCCTTGGGGTTTGCAGTTACTGATAGATTCATATTCCACAAATTCATTTAATCACTTTCTAGAATCTAAAACAATGGCCATCATCACTTCTTGGGCAGTGAATTCCATAAGCCCATTGGACTTTCTGTCCTAAATCTAGGCTTATGAAAGGTGAACATTTCTATCCACTTTTCCCACACTATACATGATTTTATAAACCTATAAAATTATCCTCTCCTCCTAATAGTCTTGTTGCCAAAGTAAACATGCCCACAAATGCTTTTCTTTAGAGATATTGCTTCATCTCTTTCGCCAACTTGGTTGCACCCTGCTTCTCCCTTTTTAGTTTTGTAACAGTATTTATTTTTTGGATGGGTCGGAATTGTTGCTTGCCTCTTAAAACTCATCAAGGTTATAAAGAGGAGCTCGAGAAACATGTTGGTAGTATCTGAACTCTGGAAAAATCCCAGAAGCTAAAGCTGGGACAGGATGAGTTTTAAGGAAGGGAAGCCTCATTTCATAACCTTCTCCAGGGATAGTAAAAGCAAAATGCATTTATCTCAATTATTTCACAATGAGTTTTGACTTGTTGAAACTGACATACAAATTTAGAGAATTTTTATGAATGTATCAGAGGGAACTAGCCATTTTGAATGTTTCTATCATAAGATTTCCCCCTATTTCCATGCTTACAAAGTCTTTTCCTCTTAGGGCTTTGGCTTTGTCACCTTTGAAAACAGCCAAGACGCTGACCGAGCACGAGAGAAGCTAAACAGCAGCATTGTAGAAGGGAGGAAGATTGAGGTGAGAAGTTACCTTGAATTGTATATGTAAAGATCTGTGTTTCAGGGGCCACATGGTATAATCACAGGTAGGGATCATGCATATGTGAGAAATACATAGAAATCAGTAGGCCTGAAGTTTACATGTGTAAATCCACCCTGAATCTAGCTTTATAAGTTGCATTTCTTTTCTATCTTTAAATGCCATGCAAACCATACTCTTCCACTTCTTTGGGAAAAGCTGGCAGAAACTTGATGCATGTGGTCTCATTTTTGCTGTTCTTTCTAATCCAGGTCAATAATGCTACAGCCCGTCTAGTCACCAAGAAACCTCCAGCAACACCCGTGGTGAATGGTAAAATACCAGAAATGAGCTGCTTTTCTGCCTTTTGTGGCAAAATAATGTGATGATGATGATGATGATGATGATGATGATGATGATGATGATTTAGTGATATGCACCTTGACTTGAGGAAGTAGGGTTGGGTAGGAAAGATATTTGCTGTTCTGCCTCAGACAGCAGAATGGTTTGGATCATTCCTGCCAGTTCCCATACCTAAAAAAACAATACCAGACCCCTTTCACAACAAAATTCCCAAGTTGGGATTGGAGGTCAGTTCTGGAGGTTGGAAAAAATTAAGAAGCTATATATGGCTGGGGAAAAGCTATGCTGCATGCCTTCCACCTCTGGTTTAGACTTTAAAATGAAACATTCCTCCTAAAATAATTGTGCTGAAGGGCTAGGGCCCTTTCACCTACACAAGAACTATTTTTCATTATTAATGTGCAAGGATAACAATAATGCGACACCTTTTCATGATACCCAACATCTGTTTCCTGAGTCAACCTCCTCACTCTGGCTCCCTGGGATAAGGGTTATACACATATGGTTATGAAGGCATTGGAAGGGTAATAATAATGAAGTGAGAGAAGTTTCTCTTCTGATTGTTTCTTCTTCCTGTCCTTTTAGGTTGGAAGATCAATCCTGTCGTTGGTGCGGTGTATGCTCCTGACTTGTATACAGGTAAATGACTCGCATTTTCAAGTAAACCCAATCTGAGTTGAGAAGGCAAGTGCATTTGCTTTAGCCAGCTTTTTAGTGTCTTCCTTCAAAGCTCCACTGTGTTGACCAATGTTTTGGATCATGCCACTCTGTTGTCCTTCTCTATTCCACCCAATGGCACATTCAATTTTGCCTTCATCGTTTTTTTTTCCTAATGGGATACATGAGATCCAGTGTAGTATAGCAGCTAGAGCAGGGGTCCTCAAACTTTTAAAAAGAGGGCCAGTCCCTCAAACTGTTGGAGGGTCGGTTTATAATTTGAAAAAAAAAACCATGAATGAATTCCTACGCACACTGCACATATCTTATTTGTCATGCAAAAAACCACTTTAAAACAATACAATAATTAAAATGAGGAACGATTTTAACAAATATAAATTTATTAGTATTTAAGTGGAAAGTATGGGCCTGCTTTTGGCTGATGAGATGGGATTGTTGTTATTGTTGTGTGCTTTCAAGTCGTTTCAGACTTACGTTGATCCTGAGCAAGGGTCGGGTAAATGATCTTGGAGGGCCATATCTGGCCCCCAGGCCTTAGTTTGAGGACCCCTGAGCTACAGGACTAAAGCTTGAGAAATGTAGATTCTAGCCTTCACTGAGTCATGAAACATACATGGTTATGTAGGCTGAGTTGTTGTGAGGCTAAAAGCTATAGGCAGGGGAATCATATAAATCTTTAGAGTTTATTTGAGGAAAAATACTGGATTTAAATGTCACTTATCAATGACCAGTCCCCAATTTCTCTCTTTCAACTTCATTCCATCCAGTGGCAAGCATCCCATATCCCATGATGGCACCAGCTGCCTTGGCATATCGTGGGGCACTGCGTGGGCGCGGTCGAGCCACCATTTATAATCCTATTCGAGCAGCACCTGCTCCTTCTCCTGTTCCAGCCTATGGCAGGTAAGCATTCCAAGGAGTGGGAGAGAGAATTGTTCTGCTGCCCTCAGTATTTATTTATTTAGTCTTTTTGTATACCGCCTTTCTCTACCCCTAAGGGGATTCAAGGCAGCTTTATATGGCAACTATTCAATACCTTTGGACAACAAACAGTTAGAATACACTTATGTTAAAGGTTAAATTAAAATTAAAGTGCACATTAAAATATAAAAAACATTGCATTCACTATAAAATCACGCCATCTTCAATCATAATCCGGGGCCGTTCCAAAGATCAATTCAGTATTACCTGGTATAGACCTTTCCCCAAGCCAATGATATTTACATATGCTGATCTATGCCTCACAGCTTCTTGTCCAGGGCTCTGCAGGCAGACTGGGAATGATCAGTTGTAGTCTAGCACATCCAAAGATTCAAGGAGATGGAGGCACTCATATTTAATTAGGAGTATAGAGGGGAAGTGTGGGTCTCTAGTAATTTGACTCCATCTTCCATCAGTTCTAGTTAGCATAACCAGTGAAAAGGGATGTTGGGAGTTTTAATCGAGTGACATCTGGAGAGCCACATATTCTCGGCTTCACTTTAATGACATGGCTAATTTCCTAAAAGTAGAACTTTGTGCTTACTCCCAATGAAGATAGTGCTTTGTGTTTACTGAATAGTCACAGAAATGTAGTGTGTATATATCCTGTAACATTCTGTTCTTCCTGATATGCTTCAGAACTAACCTTTGTCGTTGAAAACAATATGCAGACTTAAAGATTTATACAGACTTTAGAAGTATCATTGATTGGGCAGAGTTGCAAAAGCCACTGGGGGGCTTCTTTATACACTATTTGTTTTCTTTCCTTTCTCCATAGTGTTCTCTATCCAGATGGTCTATATGGTTCCGATCTCTACGTAAGTCCTTGCCTTGTTCTCTATGGGGTATAGGATTCAGAGTCTTGAGTGTGTGTAGTGTTAGCAGTCCAAGGATAAAGAAAGAGAGTAATAATAATAATAATAATAATAATAATAATTTATTTGAAGGTACTCAGGATGGTTTCCAACATACAAGGCAAAACATTCAGTTGCCAAGAAGAAAATCATACAGACAGATTAAAATAAAAGCATCATAAAACACAAAATCTTACTAAAACACAACAATAAAAAATTCAAACCGATTGCAATTATAACTTCATCAGATAAGGTTCAACAGAAACTAAAGGCCAGGACTACAAAATGGGCATGGTTAACTATAAAAGGACTGGGCAAAGGATAATGTAAACAGTATATCATAGGGCCGGGGAAGTTGAGAAAGTACTGAGTACAGGGCTTTAGATAAAGGCAAGAACAGTGAGATTTTTCAGTACAATTTTCAGAGTGGGAGCGCTAGCAGATAGCCTTATTAGCAAATGCATTGACAGGTTTTTGCCATTGCCTGAGGGTGGAGGTATGTAGCTTGTCAATGGTAGATTTTCAAGGTTGTGAGATGATTTGAACCTTGATCTCCAGAATTGTAGTCCAGCACTCAAACCATTACATAAATCTAGTGTTCGTCTTTTCGGTTTTTTGGATTTGCAGGGTTATCCTGCAGCCTACAGAGTGGCCCAGACACCAGCGGCTGCAGCAGCAACTGCAGCAGCAGCTTATAGTGATGGGTAAGTTTGATGACTCTACTATGCAGGTTTGTAAAGAATTGTATCATCCTAAGTGGGAAGAGATTGAAAAATTGTCAAGCATCACTTTTGGGGTGGGTTTTTTTTATTGCCTTTTGTACAGTTGTATTTTCCCTTTAAAGGATGTATGCTGTGCAAATAAATTTATTTTATGTAAAATTGTTTTTGTGATGTTTTGTGTAAAATTGTTGTGTAAATTTATATTGTCATCATTTTATATGCTTATGTATTTGTGTGTTTTATGTGTGTTGCACTTCAGAGTAGCAGGATATAAATACAATTCGATTATTATTATTATTATTATTATTATTATTATTATTATTATTGTGTTAAACACACACTTTCAACACATAGTAACTGACATAACATAGTGCAGAGAACGTTCTGAATTTTTAAGAAATATTTTAACGTACAAGAAGGAAATGAAGATTTATATCCTTGATTTGGTTCATGTACAAATCCTCTTGGGTTTTGCCCCATCCTAATAGGTATGGACGGGTCTACACTACGGCTGAGCCCTATCACCACACAGTGACCCCCGCCTATGGAGTTGGTGCCATGGTGAGCTATTCTATTAGTGTGTCAAGCAGTTCATAGTCTGGTTGTAGGGTTATAGAGCAGGGAGGAGGGGAGGAAGCCCTATTGTCAGGAAGGCTAGGGCCTCTGGAAAGGCCAGCCAGTGCAATCTAGACCAAGGAGGTCAAAATGTGGCCACCAAAAGCCCTCCAAAACCTGACTGGGCTTTCCCTCTCTGAAACCATACAATTTTCCCTAAAGTCCATCTTACTATGACTTCCATCATTTCCTGTTGCCATTTTGAGAGGGATTGTATGAGAAAAATATGGCATTTGGACTATATGTATGTCTGCCTACAAGGGTTCTGGGCAGAAATTGGTCTCTGATCCTTCCACAGTTTCCCACCTTGAAGACGATCATGAAATCTTACCATTACTAACAATACTAAATATAGACATTTTTGTGAAGGATCAAGAAGTGGATGGGAGAAAAACGTGATCTTTTCTAAGCTTATTAAAAACAAAGACTTGTGCCTTTCTGATGACTGGAGACCGGAAAACAGGGTGGATAGTTCTCAGAACATTCAGAAAAAATTACTTTTTAAACTGTAATCCCTAGGTCAAATGGAGATTTTAGGAATTGTAGTTCCAAAAGATAACTTTTATTTCTTTCATATTCTTAGAAACCTATTGCCACATCGGTATCAGCAGTGCTATAAAATGTCCTGCAGATGGCAATGTTTACTAGCCTATTAGGGATCTTCTGATGTTCCACCTTTATAACTCTGATTTGATCCTATTAGAGATTCCTCTTTGAGTGTTGGCCATTTAGTACTGTATTTTCTGGCATATAAGACTTATTTTTAACCCAGGAAAATCTTCTCAAAAGTCGGGGGTCATCTAATATGCCGGGGGTCATCTTATTGGGCAGGTGCTAAAACTTCCGAGCTCAACTGGAGAATCTGTGGTCGCCACATATGGTAGGGGGAGCTCAAAAACGGCCGTGGCCACATCCCCACCGTATCCAGCGACTGTATGAAAGCAGCAAGGGCAACATTGTACAAGTACGGTAGAAGAAAATCCACTCACCAGAATTTGTGGAAAGAAGTGACAACGTGGTCCCGATAGCAACCGCCTTGAGTCGTCAATAGGCTGAGAAAGGCGGTATACAAGTATAGTAAATAAATAATAAATAACAAGGTGAGGGGGCACCTCACCAGGAAGGTGTAAGTGAAGGGCGGAGCAAGCTCAAAGTGTCCAAGACACTTGGGATATGGAAAAAAAGAGATAGAGCTGTGCCCAGAAAAACACGCCTCTTTCACCTGTCTGGCCCATCCTTGTATCCTATTACCATAACTCCTTCTCGGCCTCTCAGATCCTGCTCCTGAGGACTGCAGTGAAGCATCTCAGGCATGCATGTGCGAGATCTGAGAGGCAGAGGTGGTATGGTAATAGGAAAATTACCATATTGAAATCAAATCTGATGTTTTTTAGATTTTTATTTGGTGTGCGTTGGAAGAGGGATAGTCTTATACAGTGAGTATATCCCAAACTATATATTTTAACTGGAAAAGTTGGGGGTTGTCTTATACGCCCAGTCGAATTATACGCTGGAAAATACAGTAAATCCCAATGGGCCTATTTTCTGCATCCCACCTAAAAATGGAAAATTCCCAACATCCTTAGAAGAAAAGATACAAGAGGAAAAAACATGCATTTTCCCAAAAGAAGGATATATGGAAATTGTTTCTGAACTGAAGGAGAACAAAGATGGCAGGCAGTATTGTGCCCTGTTCCCTGTCCCACATTTGTTCCTTTTAATTCATCTTGAAGATCTTTCATATCCCCCAGCATTTCACAGATGAAAACTGGAATATATGTGTCAAGCAACACCAGTACAGTCAAGATGACAAAAGTTATAAATGAGGAGGAATACACAAACTAGAAGAAGCTGTTGCGGTTTGCTTTTGCCTGAACTGCCTTGTCTCCCTCCCTTGCTGAGTTAATGGAGCTTACTTCCGTTACAGAATTCAGTTTTCTGTAACTTAAGTAAGCTGAGAAAAAAGGGAAACTTGGAAGAGAAGACATATTTTAAAATAGCTGACAAAAATGAGGATTATTTTTTGACAAATTGGGCTGGTTGAGAGCATGCTGCAGAAAAATCTAATGCTTGGAAGAGAACAAAACTTTAGAGAGCAAAAACTTAGGAGCGGGAGTCTCCAAACAGCTGAATGAGAAATTGGATGTTCAGCAGCCAAGTTAAGCAAGTAGGCTATTTAGGGAGAAAGAATGGAAAGCCTTGAGTAACCTGAATAAAAACATGACTGACTGGAACCCTGAATGGAACTTTTTTTTTCATGGATAAAGCCAGACACAGAGTTAGCCAAAATGGTCATGGTACTTTTCAGACTGATTTTCTAAATAGGCAGGTGAGCTCACAGTTTAATATGTGAGATTTTGAAAACAGCAGATCAGATGGATATTTTTTTTTGTCATGTCAGGAGCAACTTGAGAAACTGCAAGTCGCTTCTGGTATGAGAGAATTGGCCATCTGCAAGGACGTTGCCCAGGGGACGCCCGGATGTTTTGATGTTTTATCATCCTTGTGGGAGGGTTACCTCATGTCCCTGCATGAGGAGCTGGAGCTGATAGAGGGAGCTCATCCACACTCTCCCGAGATTCAAACCTGTGACCTGTCTGTCTTCAGTCCCGCCGGCACAGGGGTTTAACCCACTCCGCCACCGGGGATGAATAATGAGGCAGCTATAGTCCATAACGATCAACTGTCCAGATTTGGCAGGGACAGTCCTGATTGATTCCCTGTGATTGCACTTTTGCAGCTGCTTTTAAAATGCCCTGGTTTTTCTTCCCTTCTCCCACTTTCCCGTTTCAGCCTGACTTAACTTCTGTTGTTACAGTCTGACTTCAAATGCAGAAGTAGTTTGCATTCAATGAATCCAGCAAGGAGAGAGAAGGGGGTGAAGTATTGTCCTTTCCTGTAGTCAAAAGCAAAGTGCTGCAGCCTTTCATGTGTTTTACTTAATAGTAAGTCTTGCCATCTTGACCACAGACTGATGCTTAGCCACATGCATTCCAGTTTTAATCTGTCAAACGTTGTTGAGTATGACATAAATGTGCCGCTTTGGAAGGTAAAAGTATCTAGGACTTTGAAATCCCTTCCCTGTTGTGACTGTTATCCCCACAACGTACTTCCAAATCTCACGTTCCCATGACATGCATACTTCTTCTCTATTTGGCAGGCTAGCTTGTACCGAGGAGGATGCAATCGATTCACTCCGTACTGAAGGACCAAGCGCTGGTGCTAAGAAACTAAGAAGTGCCTGTGAACTGTTGGCACAGATGGTGGGACCTGGCGCTAAGAACATATGTCTGTGTGTCTGTGTTCATGTATAAGGAAAAGAGGTGGGCAGGTGGGTGCTTGGTACAGTTCCTTCCAAACCATCGTACACTGTTGCTGCAGCTGGACAGATGAAAATTTGGGAGTCTCTCCTAATCCCTCTCAGTTTCAAAATTACACCTTGCATTGTGCTGCCGGACAAAGTTGGATGCAGAAAAGAAATGGATAAGGTGCAAAGTCACTACTAGTTTACAAATCTTGGGAGCAGCGAAGGGCACTGGATTAAAACCTAAGTTTAGAATAGTCTCCTTTTTGGGACTAAATAATTCCCAGAATCCACCATTTTAAAGGAGTAAGAATTTAGGGAATCCTGGGAGCTGTAGTCCAAAAGAGAGAACTTTTCTGATCTCTAATTTAAAAATGATGGTGCCTGGGGTTGGGGAGAGTTGGAAAGCTAGAAAAGTCACCATGTTTCAACCACATCCTTGAGTGTGAGATCACCTGAAGTACGTTTAGAGATGCTTCAGAAATAAGATGGTTTTTTAAGGCTCCTATCAGTGTTTAAAACCGATTCAATTATCATGGCACAAGCTTAAGAATCCTGGGAGAAATTCAAGTAGGGAGTAGTGTCTATGAATCGGTCTCTGCCCAACAGGATCATTCTTTGAGTTTGGTGCTTCTGTGTGGAGTACTATGACAATTAACTAGTTTATGCTTGCTTCTATCAGCCACAGCTTCTCCAAAAGATCCTGGGAATTGTAGTGTGAAAATGTTGTCTACAATTTCCAGAGAGATGGAACAACTGTTTGCCCAGTTAATATGTTTTGTGACAGACATGACGTAAGGCAGGAGTGGACACCTTTGAGATGATGGGCAGGAACTGCCACCATTCCTGACCATCGGTCATGCTGACTGGGACTGTAGGAGGAGTTAGAATCTGTTGTCGCTGGAAGAGCCAAAGGTTTCCTGTTCCTGCCATGGAGATCATGTCAGATTCAAAACCAGCTCTCTGGAGTTCTTCCCTTGCTTCTCTCATTCCCTCTCGCTTTTCTTCTCTTTTTGATTGCTCTGTGGTATTTCTCTCTTTAATGCTGTGCTTCCACTACACTCCTTTATTGTGTTCTCTCCTCTGTTTTAGATCTGCTTTGGGTATCAGTTCAGGACAAACAATGGCTGAATTAAGCCTCATTTTTCTGTGAAAACATTTGGGATTTTTTTTAATGCATCATCACTATTATTTTAAGTAATACCATTTTTACATAATAATATTTTGTTTGTAAATAACAATTCTTACTTTTAATTCTGTCCAAGAGAGAAAGCATATGATCTAGTGCAAGACTGAAGACTAAATACTTTATTTTTAGGCAGTCAGAAAATAAAAAGCTAACTCTTTAAGACTTCATCTTAAGTACTTTCATTTCCCCCTGAAGGGCGCTGATCCCAAAGCAGAATCTGTTTCTATTCCTATCAATTTGCTTCACACCTGTACCTGGGCTTGAGTGTCCGTGGCATTGTTCCTACTCAGTTCATGGTTCAATATCTCAGGGAAACCCTTCTAAATAGATGCTTGTTCTTTTCACTGTTTTCTTGTTACTGTAATAAAATCCTGATTCTGGCTAACTTCTCTCACTCTGCCTCTTCTTCTTTCTCTTCCTCCTTCTCTGTAACTGCATTTGTCCTCTTTTCCTTGTCCAGACCATTGGCTTACAGGTGGTGCTTGGTATCTGCTGGGGATTAGTTCCAAGACCTCCCTAGATGCCCAAATTAAAAATATCTAGAATTTAAAAATATCTGGAATTAAAAGAAATTCAAGCCATGGGTGTTTGAATCTCTGAAAATTGAGAACTAATTATACTTGCATCCAGCTTTCCACTCTTGGTTCACAGAGACTACAAAATTCAGACTAGGGACATGCAGATCTTAGGCCCTTTCTACACTGCCATATAATCAGTTCAAAGTGGATAATCTGGATTGTATATGGCAGTGTAGATGGGGCCTTAAAAAAGGATAACTTCTGCTTTTCATATATTGGCTCATCCATTGTTTGCCTCTGGTTAAACAGACTTGGGGTCCTTCCAGACAGGCTCTATATCCCATGATCTGACCCACGTTTTCTGCTTTAAACTGGATTGTATGAGTCTGCACTGCCAGATAATCTGGGATAAACAGTAAACCTGGGATCAGATCCTGGGATATAGGGCCTCTCCAGAAGGGTCCATAGAATGGTTTATTTGTTAGAAAATAAATACAAGCCTTCAAAATTTGTTTTTCCATAGGTGGCAGTGGAAAAAAATCTTCCCTCAACATACTTAACACTGCTTAGAGCAGTGCTTCTCAACCTGTGGGTCCCCAGGTGTTTTGGCCTACAACTCCCAGAAATCCCAACCAGCTGTTAAGACTTCTGGGAGTTAAAGACCAAAACATCTGGGGACCCACAGGTTGAACCACTGGCTTACAGCCTAAGGACCCAGTCACATTACACAGTTATTGCACTATGGTTCCACTTGAATAGCTATTTCAACATCTTATGGAATTCAGGTGTCTGTGGTTTAATGAAACACTAAATCTCTGAAACTGCGCATTCTAAGGCTGGATGTCCCCACTGCCCTATATCCTAGGATCTGATTCCAGATTATCTGCTTTGAACTAGATTATATGAGTCTCCACTGCCCTATAATCTGAGTTAAGAAGATAATCTGGGATCAGTTCCTGGGATATAGGGCAATGTAGAAGGGGCCTAAGTACCGACCATAAATCCAGGGGTTCCCCAGAGGATGCTGCCACTACACCAAAAGTGGAATTAAAATGCTACAACTGTGTAGTGTGAAATGTTTCTGAGAGTGTAGTTGGAAATAAATTGGTAAACACTGCAACATTAACTTTCTTACTGTTCTTTGGAGAGGGAAAATCAAAATGATCTGTTTTTGGAATGTAGAACAGTTATAAGACATTATTATTAATGCAGGCGTTCCCTACAACCAAATAATTTTGAGGCTCAGCATCCAACTCCTCAAGAATGTATGCTTTCCCTGTTAAAATACTAAGCTCCTAGACCTTATGGCGATGAAGTTTGAAAGTGATGGTCAATACTTACTGACATTTTGCAAAGTATACCAATTTGTGATGTGTAGGGATTAGAGCTGGGACATGTCTGCTTATTATCTCAAAAAATATACAGATTTTAGACAGATACTAGTCACATACCCACAAATACATGGGGTAACCATGGATCCCATATCCATGGTTTCATGTACCAGCTCCCAGGGGAAATGCTCTAAGAATTTGCTAGATCTTCCAGGGCAACCCTATGATATGCTGGGACTACAAGTTGGGTAATTTAAGGGTGTTTTGTCATATTGCAGTTTATGTGATCTGGCCAGAAATGTATCTCCCCCATATCCATATACATGCACACGTATCTCAATTCATAGAATCATAGAGCTGGAAGAGACCTCGTGGGCCAACCAGTCCAACCCCCCACCAAGAAGCAGGAAAATCACATTCAAAGCACCCTCGACAGTCATTATAAACCTAGTGGAGACGTTATCTGATCCCCCCCCCCCCCCCCCCCCCCAGTGTTGATGGAGAACAACCTCTGATGAGCCAATGTTCTTGTCAAAATCAACTGACATGCTGTTTCTCATAACCTCGTATTTTTATATTTTCCCTCAAAGGAAATGGTCTTCACTTGGCATAATATATACATCAGGGTTAGGACAAACCTTTAGTGATACTTCATTGATATCTTGCTTTATGCCGCTTGCTCTTTCTCTTCTCACTCTCCTACCAACCCTGGGTGATATTTTTCGCTTTTGACAATCTTCACTGTATCTCCCTCTCACATTGCCTGTCACCATTTCTACACAGCTTCATGGAAGGCTTTTCTTCTGGCATGTTACCCTCTAGACCATTCTTTAAAGCAAAACCAAAACATAATTGCAGAGTCTGGGGAAATATTTTTAGACTATAGCTTCAGAACCTCTGATGTAGCCCTTTATGGATCTGAACTTTGCTATAGCTCTGAACCTTGAATAGAGACATCCTTCTATATATGGATGTGCTTTAGTTCATTCACGTTGCTGTCTGTTGTAGGCAAAAAGGAGCCTTAGGGTCCTTCCACACTGCATACAAGCCAGAATAACACACCATATCTGCTTTGAACTGGAATATCTGGGTCCACACTGCCATATATCCCAGTTCAAAGCAGATAATCTGGGATTTTATTCAGCTGTGTGGAAAGGGACTTAGAAATATGTGTTCCATTCAGCATTGGAGTCCCAGCTTCAGTTGAGGTGTATCATATATACTTGTTTATGATTCAATCTCATGTATATAGAAATATAAAGGGTAAATGATCTTTGGCAACACTTACCTTGATAATCTTGCAGACTGAGCTATGTCTTTGCAAAGAACCTGGAATTGATTATGGCTCATAAGCTACACTTCATAGGATTCAACAGGTAACTGACTGCAAGACAAATACCACATGATTTCAAGCAAAACAAAGGCATTTTGCCTAAAAGGAATTGGAGGCAGATTTCGGAACCTCACTCCTTCCTTTGTGATTTCTCTTCATTCCTTTTGGTTTGCATGTCTCTTTTCTTTTGCCTCTCCCTCTTTGCATGTTTATAAGCTTTTATCTCTACTGTCGTGTTGCTCTCCTCTTGCAATTGCTCAGTTTTTACCTCATGTTTTTATTTGCATTCTGTCTTGCATGCTTCTTCATTCTTATAATTGTACACCTGCTTTCCTCTTGCTTTTGTATGCTTCTTCCTGGCTGCCTTTTTCTCCTTTTTGCCTTGTCTGGTCCAAGTTAATTCTACACTGCATTTTTTCTGCTCTTTTTTTCTTTTCTCACCAGCTCATCTTCCTGCTATCTTTACTCTGCTTACTTTAGCTTTTTTCATCATTTCATTACCAAGAGTAGTGTGTTTTTCCTGCTCAGTCACTTGTCTTTTCCAATCCTTTTCTTTGTGCATGCTTTCCAGTTCTCCTGATTGCTGGTCCTTATTTGTCATGTTGTGTTCATTATCCTGTGCAAAGTAACTGCAGCATGAAAAATATGGAGGCGACTCCCTTTCCTCTTAGTACTCTATCTAATCTACTATATCTAACATTCATAAGAAAAGGCTGGCAATTGAAAACGATGGTGAAAAGCTACATTGCACAGTACTAGATTTACCATTGCAAAAATGACAATGGGAGTAACATGATGAATTTGTCTTCAGCATGCTTTTTTTCTCTTTATCTTTGCTTATACTCTGACTAGTTTGCTTCTCCATCAATCTTTTCCAGTCTTTGACACTTCTCTCTCTCTCTCTCTCTCTCTCTCTCTCTCAAACAAATCAGTGTTTCTGCATTACACATGCACAAGTTGATACCACTGTTTCTAATCCCACTAAAGTTTGGAATTTGTAGTTTGCTGAGGTACCAAGAATTCCCTGGAAAAGGGGCTGTCCTTCAGTCTACACCTCTAGAGCTCCCCATCAGGAGAAAGATAGGATAAAAATAAAGTATATAAGCAATTATGAGTATCTCACCAAACTACAGCTCCCAGGATTTGATGGGATGGAACCATGATGTTAAAGATAGTATTAAACTGTTGCAAGTATGTAGTGTGGATACTTTTTCTCCCCATTTCATATTCAGACACAACCCCACTTTTCTTGATCCCTTTATTTTACTTCACTTCACTTTACTTTGTTCAAGGGCCGGAGTAGGCATTGAGCAAAGGCTTTCAGTAGGACCTCTTTGAGATACAAGCAGGCCTTTGCTGTTGATCATATTAGGGTTGCCGGTGATAGTATGATAGCTGGGTCCGTAAGGCTTAGGTTTCAGGTAAGGGTTAGGGTTTTACCATTAAATAATTATTGCATTCAGTCTATAATATCTGTATTTGGTTCTGCGTTGCACAAATAGTGCTCCCGAAGGAGCGAAGCGTAAAGAGCGTAAGACTCAGAGCTTCCGCACCCAGCTTTCATACTATTACCAGGTTGCCACTCTTTTGTTTGAGATGAATTCCTATCAGCTATTAGCCTTTATTGGTATACCTTTCCCTTTTTCAATCATGGCATGCAGATAGGATTTTCCACCCATTTGTCTTCCCCACCTTATCAAGGCATTGGTCGGACTCAATCATGCTTAGCTTCAATAACATTACAGTAATAAGTACAGTGAGCCCTTGGTATCAGCTGGAGTTTGGTTCCAGTATCCCCTATGGATGCAAAAGTCTGTGGGTGCTCAAGTCTCGTTATATACAGTCCCATAAGGAAATGGTACCCCTTATATAATATGGCAAAATCAAGGTTTGCCTTGGGATTTTTCAAAATTTTCAAGCCATGGAAGGTTGAATCCTTGGATGTGAAATCTGTGGCCACGGAGGGCTTAGTGTACTGTACTTAGAGCCTTTGATGTAGGATAAATTGTGAGCAATCCTCGTCGTCTTGCTTGCTTGCTTGCTTGCTTCTTCATTCCCTTCATTGCTTCTGTCTTCTCTCCCTTGCTCCCTGTGCTCTCATTCCACTTTCTATTCCATTGCTCATCTTTTCTTCTCCCTTCTTGCTTTGGCTATTGTTTTCGCCCTCCATTGTATTTGCTTGCATTCTTTGGAAGTATAATGC